TCCAACTGGTATTGAATCTTTACCTGTTAATTTTGCATTAAGGGCCATTATTGAAAAGTACCAGCAAGAAGACCATCCAGATATCGTCACCTGCCCTGAACATTACAGGCAACCATTAAATGTTTATTGCCTACTAGATAAAAAATTAGTTTGTGGTCACTGCCTTACCATAGGTCAGCATCATGGTCATCCCATAGATGATCTACAAAGTGCCTATCTGAAAGAAAAGGACACGCCTCAAAAATTGCTTGAACAGTTAACTGACACACACTGGGCAGATCTTACTTGTCTTATTGAAAAGCTGGAAGAACAAAAATCTCATTCGGAGAAAGTGGTCCAAGGTGATAAGGAAGTTCTTTTCCAGTATGTTAAGGAGCTTAGTGATACATTAGAACAGAAAAAAAAATTTTTTCTAACTGCTCTCTGTGATGTTGGCAGTCTGATTAATCAAGAATATACTCCACAAATTGAAAGAATGAAAGAAATAAGAGAGCAGCAGCTTGAATTAATGACATTGACAACATCTTTACAAGACGAGTCTCCACTTAAATTTCTTCAAAAAGTTGACTATGTCCGCCAACGTGTGCAGACCTTGAAACAAAGACCACTTCCTGAGTTCCAACCTGTTGAAATTTATCCTCGAGTAAGCCAAGTATTGAAAGAAGATTGGAGCAGAACAGAAATTGGACAAATTAAGAAACTTCTCATTCCTGAAATGAAAATTTCTTCAAAAAGGATGCCATGTTCCTGGCCTGATAAGGATGAAAGAGAAGTTGAATTTTTTAAGATTCTAAACATTGTTATTGTTACACTAATTTCAGTGATACTGATGTTGATCCTCTTTTTTAACCAACACATAATAACGTTTTTAAATGAAATCACTTCAATATGTTTTTCTGAAGTCTCTCTATCTGTTTACCAAAGTTTATCTAACAATCTGCATGATTTAAGGAATATACTATGTCACACTTTATATTTACTGAAGGAATTCTTGTGGAAAATAGTTTCTCGTTGAAAATTCAAATCTGAATTGTTTAAATAGGCTTATTCTGTACAGCAGAGACTAACAACCATTGCTAAATGGAGAAATAGGGGTAGCATGGATAAATAAAATAGCAAACTAAACTTGACTAGAGTTGCAACAAATACACAGAAACATGTTAAGCCTTTCATGCTTCTGTTGGATAGAAATGTGTCAAAGTTAGAAATGAGACAGAATGTCTCTAGTTTTCATACATCTGAAAACTAGAATAAAATATATTAATTACTTGAGTATTAATACATGATCTCATTATTGGCTTGAGGTTGACTTAATCTCACTGTGACATTTAAACATTCTTGTACCAATATTGTCTTTTAGCCTTATTATATACTATAGTGCCTGACTTTGCAGTTCTTTATGTATATATAGCTTTTAGATTACAAAATGGCAAAATCCTGAAAGTGCATATGCCTTTATTTTGATGTGGCTTAAAGCTTTTGAATGGGTGAGATGGTGAGAAGAGGTTTTAATTCAAGCAGCAAAGTCTACAATAAGGGGTTGCTTACATTAAAGATGTTTTTCATCAAACGCACCTGATCCACACATTAACGTGTTTTAGATAGATTTAAGAGCCTTGAAATGTTTGTCAGTTATGGAACAGACAGTGACATTTTCTAATACTCGTCATATTCTGTAGTTTGTGTAAATTTGTTTTAGGATTGTATTTGACTTTTGTGTAGTGTTTTATTTAGTCCTGTCAGTAGAACGGAATCGTGTTGTTGATACAGTCCATCATCAGATTTAGATGACATCAGTTAACTATATTTGTCTTAAAAATTATCTTAAATTTTCTACGAAACATTCTCCTATGCTAATGCCAAAATACCAATAATTTATTTTCTTGAATTTTGCTTAAAAGGGAACCTACCTAGCTATTAAGTCAAATCCCTTTGATTTAGTTCCCTTATCATTAACAGGGGTTGGAATTGTGCTTTTGGTAGGATTTTTGCCCTTTTGTCCACGCAATCCTAAAGACAAGCTCATTTGCTTTCCAGAAATTCCAAATTGGTCATTGCTCTTGGATCACACCTCTAGGTGCCTTTCCTAGTTTAAAGACTTTCCAGGTCAGATTAGGGAATGCTTCTGGTCCTACAGTTTACATGTAAATTATAATGAATTCATATGGCTGTATAGAGGGCACTAGTTCCAAAATATCACTAAGGTCTTATCTGCTGACAAGTCTGAATACTAAGATGGCTGGCTGTGTTAACTCAAATTTATGACCAGAATCAGAATATCCCTAGCACAAATTAGCACAGTTATGTTAATTGTGTACGTTACAATCGTGTTGCTTATGGATACGTTATGACAAATGCATTGTTAGGCAATTGCGTTGTGGTGCGAACACTGTAGAGGGTGCTTACACAAACCTAGATGGTATAGCCTACCATACACCTAGGCTATATGGCACTAATGTTATGGGACCACTGTCACATACGCAGTCGGTTGTTGATGGAAACGTTGTTATGTGGCACATGACTATATTGTGTGGGGCAAAGAACATCTGGAGGGTATAATGGAGGTGGGGGAGATATATATTCAGCTGAGATAGAAATATAAATACATATTAACTTTAGACCGAAAGTTGCATTGATTTAAGTATTAGTCACACCACAAAATGCCAGGTACTTTTTGATTACGTCAATATTAGTAAGTACTGAAATGTATGTTAGCTATTTTGTGTCAAGCACTTAATCTCACATTTCTGAAGTAGGTATGAACCCCTACTTTTGTAGAAGAGGAAATAGACACAAAAGTAATTTTCCCAAAGCCATATAGCTAGTACATGGGAGACCCCATGTATTGTTTTCAGAGTTCATGCTGTCATGCCACCTTTAAAGGATTTAAATAAGCCAAGATTTTTATTAAATTAGGCCTTCTATGTCTTAAGAATCATTTGTAGCTAACAATTGAAGCATGTCTATTAACATTTTAGGTTTGACATTAATATTTTGAAACTTGCCAGTTTTTGTAGACTTTTTTCATGAATTTTATGTAATGTGCATGAATACAGTAAAATATAAAAATAACTGATTCAGATACATGCTGCTGTTCTTTTGTATTTTTACCAAGAGGCTGAGATTGTAAAATTTAAGGTATATAATCTTGAACTATTTCTAAGTTTTATGTATAACAAAAGTATGTATTTTAATAAACTCACTTTGATATTTTATTTGCATTGAGTGGCTTAATGCGCTCAAACTCAGGAGAGGCAGCTTTGGAATTTTCATATAGGTTATGGGTATTATTTAACTCTTTAAAACTTAGTACTAAGCGCCACTACTCCATTGGTTATTAAAATGTAATAAAAGTATTAAATTCCATTCCTCTCACCAATGAAAAAGCACTTTATAATTATAGCTTTTTCTAGTTCCTTTTTTTTGTGAGGAAGATGGGCCCTGAGCTAACATTTTTCAATCCTCCTCTTTTTGCTGAGGAAGACCCGCCCTGGGCTAACATCCATGCCCATCTTCCTCTACTTTATATGGGAAGTCACCACAGCATGGCTTGACAAGTGGTGCATTGGTGCGCGCCCGGGATCCAAACCAGCGAACCCCTGGCCGCCAGCAGCTGAGCGTGCGCACTTAACCACTTGCGCCACGGGGCCGGCCCTCCTTTTTCTTTATATATATATAATCTTGATTTAAAACAAATGACCATACTTGAGTTTCAGATCTTGCTTCACGTCCATGCTAATGTATTTACATTTTTAATGGCTATGTTACGATAAAACTGTCTTTGTTGGATTTTTAGTACCTTAGCAATGGTCTACTGAAGAACAAGCTAACTCAATTCCTCAGGATCAATATCTAGAAATTGAATAGCTAGGGCAAAGACTTTTGGTTTAATACCAAAATTCCTTCTGAAAACCAGTGGTTGCCAACCTGTTTCCAATAGCATTATAGCATTCTTGAGCTAACAGTGTAGTGTTAAAAAACAAAAAACTCTTGACAATTTGATAGGCAAAGAGCACTCCATATTAATTTCCATTTATACTAAGGAAGTTAATCCCTATATACTTCATTCTTTCAATGAAGTAACTATAGTGGGTATTTTTCCTTTTCAACTTACGAGATATCCTAGTCATGTTCAGATATTGTCTCAGTTTGCTGGCCCTCTTGCAAGTAAGTGTTTTAAACAAACACATCAAATTTTAGGAAAACATAAGATATTTAAATTCTCATCCTTAAAATTCAGAATGACTGGTTAAAAAAAAAAAAAAGACCCAGGGGCCAGCACATTGGCGTAGTGGTTAAGTTCCCACGTTCCACTTCAGCAGCCTGGGTTCGGCGGTTCAGATCCTGGGCACGGACATACTCACTGCTCATCAGGCCATGCTGAGGTGGTGTCCCACAAAGAGGAACTACAACTCTACAACTATGATACACAACTGTGTACTGAGGCTTTGGGGAGGAAAAAGAAAAAGGAAGATTGGCAACAGATGTTATCTCAGGGCCAATCTTACTTAAAAAAAAAAGAAGTTCCCTGTATTTGAGTAATAAATATAATGGTTGTCTAAATTAGTAAATTAAGTGGAATATCTTAAAAATTTATCCAATAGTAGTTGGCAGGCTTTTCCTCTGTAGGTCAAAGGTCCATGAGGGTATGCTGTGTCTTGATAACAGGATCTAGGTTAGAACTTGACTGTTCATCAACTAACATACTTTTAACTCTGCTGGTAGCAATTTGGGACTAAGGACAAGTCAGCTGACCCTCCAGGCAATCGTATTTTCTCCATAGTCTGCGGCTTACAAAAGTGTCAGATTCTTACAGTTTCCTAGAAGCAGGTATAGAGAATATTTTATTAGACTTGTAACATGCCTCTTAAGAGCATAAAATAGAATCCAGTTATATGATTAGTTTAAGAATATGTATTTTATACATTTTGTATAATTTTTAAATTTATAATCCTTTACAAACAGAAAATCAGTAATACAATACACTGAATCTATGCTGATTCAATTTGAGGATCCAATATAAACAAGTTTAACAAAGGCCTTTAGATGCAATTTCTTTTGGGTTTACTGCAACACTTTTTGTTATATTGTATGTCTTGTAAATTCCAATAAGTCTATCTGAAATCTCAAACATATTATTTCGAAGAGAAATTATTATGAACTGGGCATTTTTTGTTTGTTCCTAAAAAGAAAAAAAAAATAAGCAACATTAAGTAATAACAGATAAATCATATAATAAACATCTAAGCTTTACTTCCCTGAAATATTTTTTGGGAATAAGTAATAACAGGTAAATCACATAATAAACATCTAAGCTGTACTTCCCTGAAATATTTTTCGACCAATAAATTCAACATTACATTGAAAATTAACTTGCATTAGAATGATGGCATGGATAATTCATGAAACAGTATTTGGGTTTGAGAGGAACTGGGGTATTTTCGTAAGCATGGTTGCCTAGAAGTCTTCTAGTGGAAAAAAGATCTAGGCAGGAGACTGGAGATTCTAGCTGTGCTTCATCTACTAATTTACATTATTAATTTATATTTTACTTTTCCAAAATGGAAATATTTGGTGCAAATAAAGGACTTGGTCTCCTTTGATACCATACAACATGGAAGTAGAGAATATTGGGAAAAAGCTCAAAAGTAAGAAATAAGTCAAAGAATTCCATGTGTAATGTTTAGAGAACCCATAAAATTTTCAGAATGAAAACTTCTGATTACTTACATATATATAAAAGGCAACAATGGACACATTTTTAAAATCAAGGGCTGCGTCAATCTCGTCCATGAAGTACAGGGGAGTGGGTTTGTAGTGGTGAAGAGCAAACACTAATGCCAACGAACTAAGCGTTTTCTCTCCTCCTGAAAGGTTGAAGATCTTCTTCCAACTTTTCTTAGGTGGTCGAACACTGAAATAATTAAGAAAATCTCTTATTAGTCAAATTACTTATAAAGCTCAAGTTAAGACTTCATGATTTGTTTTCCATAACTGGCTTCTACTACCTTCCTCAGGAATCTCTAATTTGCTTGTCACAAAGCTAAACTTTTGTGGGATTATTTTAAAAAAGGTTATTGGAAGATGAACACATAGGGACACCTACCAAAATTTTAAGATTTAAACAGCAGGCCAATAAATACTTCTTGCTATTCTTTCCTGTTTCCAAAGCTATTTTTTGCTTTGCAATTTTAAAATCCTAATGTTAAATTGAAATGGCTTGAAAATTTAAAAAAAGATGAATTAGAAAAATATTGTGTAAAATATTTGCTATTTGTCCAGAATTTATGCTGCAAATTGCCAATATGCAAACAAATTAATATTTATCATCAAATAAAACAAGCTGTAGATCTAACCTTCACATCCCACCCCTAAAAAATACTAAGAATTTGGAGAATATGTAGAGACATGTAAGTAACAGGAGGATCCAAAACTCAGTATAATTACAAACCTGAACATGATTCCTTCAGAGAAAGGATCCAAGCTGTCTACAAGCTCCAGTTCAGCGTCACCTCCCAAAGTAAGCATTTGGTAATTTTCCTTTAATTTATTTGTTATTATATAAAAACCTGCCATGAATTCATTAAGCCTTTGCTTCCGAAGATCTTCATATGCCTGTCTAAAATTATCTCTTTCGCAAGTAATTTTGTCCAATTCTGCTACTCGTTGTAAATATAATTCTTCCTATGAAAAGAATATTATCATGAGAAAAACATCTAAGGTTATAAATTTGAGATGAGAATAACACTGCTAATTATATAAAATTAAAGGTTGCAATATAAGTTACAGACTAAAAAGAATTTCTGACTATTACACATTACTAGTTCATTCATACCTTCTTTTTATACTCTGCAATGGCACCAAGGTTTGGCTTCATTTCATGACACTGGGCTTCCAAAAGTGCAATCTGAGTTGTTATAGAATCTGGATTCTTGATTGCTTCAAGATCCTCTGGGCTTAGAACCAAAATCTCTTCAACAGGATTATTTTCTACAGGATGCAATGATATTTTTGAAATCTAAAAGTTCAATTTAGATGAAGAGTTAGGGAAGGCACACTACTACAATTTATTGTTTAAAAGAAAAATCAAATCAACAATATAACAAATTACCTATCTATTACAACAACATATAACAAGGAGTTGCAACTAATTTGTGTATCAACTATTTTTCAAAGGACTTCAAGAAACAGTTGTAGTGTTCCAAAATATTCATGCACCATTTTGTTAAAATCTCCAAATTAGCCCTGGGGTGAAAACGTTGACTAATTCTAACCATTACTGAGATTTTCCTGTATATAATAATTACTATATATTGTTCATTAAGTTCCCTATATACCTGAGAAGTGAGTACATTATGGAATTAAGAATCACTGTTCCTCCAAAACACACACGAAACAAAAACCCTTTTCATAAAGGATATTTTAAAGTTATATTTAACTAAATGGTAATAATCTCACCTCTTTTTGCCAATATTTTATTTTAGAATTATGTTCAGCAATGTGACCATCTATTTGTTCAAGTTTCAACTTAATACTAAGTGCATCTTTTTGAAGAGCATGTTCATTTTCTTGAATTACTTTTAGTTCTTGAAGTAAATTACGATGTTCTTTCTGGATCTCTGGTAAGGACTCCTAAAAACCAAGAATAACTGCTACAGATATACCTTCCCAAATAAAAAGAACAGGCATTTTCATATTACAAAGATGAAGAAGTTAGCAATCTTTCTCCATGCCCTTTCCATTTTAAATTAAAACTTTTTTACTTACAGAAAAGTTACAATACAGTACTCATATTTTTACTGTACAAAGTTAATATAGTTATAAAAGTTAACCTTTTGAGTGCTTACTATACAAGGCACTGATGTCACATAACCAACTCTTTAAATTGCTTCAAATACCATTCTCCCCCTTCTCCAAATCTTACCTCTGCAGTATTTGTATTCTTTATGACCTCTGTTGCTTTGTCCTCAAGACTTTTTAGCTCTGCTGTTAAGTCATCTACTTCTTTCTCAGTATCTTTTACTTCTTTCTCTGTGCGAAGAACAGAGTCTTGCGCTTTTTTAAGATTTCTAAACCAGCAAAATGATATATTAAAAATGTGGTAAAGTGTGATTTGTTATTCTGCTTCTGAAAACCTATCAAAGAACTTGTGATGACATTAATGTGACTTTTTTTTCTATCATAGATTTAAAAATTTATGATTTACTAAACCATCCTTGAATTGGTTTTTACATACTTACATATATACTTGTGGAAGTGTATTTTATTAAACCCTCAGTATAAATCAATGAAAATTCCTTACATAAGCTTCTAATATCATCCAATCTTAGACAATGAAGCAAAGTTGTTCATTGGGTTATTATATTGTCATTTTCTTGTCAGATTGGAGATTCTTAAATCTCTGTACCTTCAAATAAATAAATGCCTCCCAGTTCAAGTCAGGGCAACAAGTGCTTCCAAAGGGGGGCAGGTGAGAAACAACTATTTTTTTCCCACTTTGATTGACAAATTTGTTTAGGGAAACTTCTGCTCCTAACATAAACAAATGGCTTATTAGCACCTTATCTTTGAGCAAAAGACTGGAAGAACTTAATAACCAGATAATACATAATTAATTTGTTAAGATTTTAAGATAAAAGAAACAGCTGTTTACATTTCAACATTTTATATACATACATAGCTTTAATTATTTTAGAAATCTGAATACTCTAAAAATTAGTTTTAAAACAAGAACTATGAATGGATAAAAAACTTTTTGTGAGTTAGGACAATGGGATACCCTAGTTAATTAAAAATTTAAGTTACCAAGACTATTAATTTTGCTAAGAGATCTCATTCTTACCACTTATTCTCCTAAGACCTAGATCTATTTAATCACCATCTACTCCTCTAAGCCAGAGAAACAAAAGTGATTTCTATGTCCTCACAAAAACTGGGGAGTTATATAACTATGCCAAGGCATACCTGTTTACCAGTTTTTCTAATTAAAAACTGGTCATGTGCTAAATGTTTATTATAGGTTTCCCCTTACTAAAGTTCTACTAGGTAATAACATGTCACATAGGCTTAATAAGTAACAGTAATAGAAACATTTAATAGACATTAAATTTAAAGATTAACCCCTTTTCCACAGTGGAGGCAGGGAAGGAGAAGATGGGTTAGGGTAGCATGCAAACTCTACCTGTTAGCAGTCTTGATTGCTACTTGGGCTTTAGTAATAGCAGAAGCACATTCATCTAATTGCTTATTTATTTTATCAAGTTTGTCTTGCTGAGCTTTGAGTTTATGGTTATTAATTTCTACGATGATATTGTGTAACCTTTTAACCTCAGCTTCTACTTTCCCAGCTCTTTCAGCCACATTGTCATATTCTGAAATAAAAAAATAAAGAACTTAATTTGTGCTTCTAGGCTAACCAGCATCACTTGTTAGATGTAAATTTCTTCAGTTAATATGACTTAATCTGATGCATGCAAAAGAAGAAATTTTAGACATTCAGGAAAAAGTACCTAAAAAAAACCCAGAGCACTTTATGTCAAAACAAATGGCATTATAACAACACATGATTAAATTCTCTGGCTTAGCCATGAACATAACCCATTTATTTCTTGATGGCTTCACTCCCTTCAAGCTCTTTTCAACTTTTTCTTAGAGTACTTCCTTGACCATTGGTCTCATAATAATTTTTACCCTTATATAGACTATGTGCCTGACTATTAACTTGCCCACGGTGAAGAAACTGTGGTTTATTCTGCTAATGTAACTTAGAGTTCTCCACGTTATAACAAGAAAGTGGGGGAGACAGGATGAATTGGCACTCTTCTGTGGCACAGAAAGCTAGAAGCTATATTTCCTAGATTCCCTGGTACCTAGGGTTCAGACATAATTTAGGACCATTCTATCAAAAGAATTCACATAATTTGGAAGGCATAAGTTATGAATTGGACATATTTCTGCTGGCAAGCAGTCAAAGAGAAGTATGAATTTTCTTGGTGGCACCGGAGGTTCTGGTGTCCAGTCAAAAGCTTTGTGAATAGTGACAAGCAACGGCATTAACTCTGATGGTTTAGATTATCGTAGGTGCAATGTGCTCCTGTGACTGGTAGTTGTAGTGTCATCTTCCCAGTTTGACAGATGACTTTCCAGTCGTAGAAGAGGCTCTTTGATGGTTCTGCAGAGTAGCTCTGGAAATTCTTCTTTAATATTCAACCTAGAATTTCTTTCTTTAGCCACCCCAATGATTCTGTAAACAAGCTAATACTCTCTTAATCCTCCACACACAAACTACACAAATCCTATTTTCACTAGCCAGAATAGATTCTATTTTCCATGTATGAATCCTAATCACTATACAAAACAGGAAGGATAAAAGGTGGCAAAAAGGTGAGTTCATAGTATGTTCATCAAGAATACGTTATGTCTAGAAACGTAAACAAACACTGAGCTAACTTATGGAAAGAGATTCCCATAAAGTTCCTATAGGAAATATATGGACATTTGGCACAGGAGGCGGCAGGTAGGATTTGCTGAGAGAAAAAAGATTAGATGAGGACTTAACTGTTGCTTCCTCTCCATTGTCTCTTCTCTCCTGTTAGGTAGGTTGGAATTTCAACATTCCCCAAATCTCATTAACTTATCATTTATTTCTCTTTTTGTCCTACATTATCAGAGAGTTCTTTTAGCCTGATCTTTCAGCCCATCTATCGAGTTTAATTCTAAGAACTCTATTTTTTACATTTCTGAGATCACCACTTGGCTCTTAAAAATAAAAAACCCCTGCTTTTTTTTTGGTCTTTTGGATCCCTTTTTTTCCTAACAATATTAAATACACACATTTAAAAGTTCTATATTGCCAACACTAGCAATTTTTTTTTCAGGTCTAAGATACTGTATTTGTTGAAGGAATTGTTTCACACACAGTGGTGATGTTCTCTGTGGTTAAAATTCCATTAGGCTACCTGCGTGCTCAGCTCACCTGTGGGTAGAGCACCAGCTGCTGTGGGGGTGGCACCATGACCTACACTGGGGGACGGACCAGGTATGCATCTGGAAAAGCTTCCAACCTTTATAACATTTTCTTCCTTATTTTCAAGTATCAACCATGCATTTCTTTTTTAATATCTATAGTAGCATGTCTATTAGAAGAGGAAAACTATGGCATATATAGTCTGTAATTCTGAAGTCACTATTCTATACTATGTTGCCCCTTCTTACTCTATTCTCTAAACAGTAGCCAGAAAGATATTTTTAAAACCTAAATTAATGTAAAAATGAAACAATCTTAAAGATATGCTTTGCAGACATGGGTCCTCCATAATTGACATTCAGAGCCTACTGATAATAGCCAGCATTTCCATGAGAGGAGATATATACAGGGCTCCTAATAAAGTCAAGGTATCCTTTTCAAACAAGGATACAGATTCCTGAAGTCTTTCTGTGAAAGTGTTGCTATAAATGACACAGAAATACGTTTTTGGCTTTTCCACTGACTACTAGGCACCATCGAAGCAGTCACAACAAATACTGCAGGTATGTATGGGGAAAGAGGAGCGTGGGTAAAGTCAATGCATCTGCGAGAATGAAGTACAGATCCAAAATAAATGCACACAAAAAAATCCTGTCAAATTATGCCACTCCCCAGTATATCACTCTCCAATGGCTTTCTATTTCACCTGAAGACATGGCCTATAAGGCCCTACATTATCTAGATTCTTCAATCCTTTACTCTAGCCACTCTGGCTTCCTTGTGTTCCCAGAAACTCCTAGCATACTCCTGCCTCAGGGCCTTTGTACTTACTCCTCCACATTCTTCTTGAAATGCTCTTCTCCCAAATATCCACCCAGTTAGCACTAAAACTTCCTTTGGGTCTCTGCTCAAATGTCTGTAGCAGAGGCCTGTCTCACCCACTGTGTCTATCTGACCCCCCATCTCCATCCTGTCCTGTTATCCTGGTTTTACTTATCACTTAGCACCACCTGATACAATATGTAATGTATTTGTTTTTTTTTTTTGTGAGGAAGATCAGCCCTGAGCTAACATCCATGCTAATCCTCCTTTTTGCTGAGGAAGACCGGCTCTGAGCTAACATCTATTGCCAATCCTCCACCTTTTTTTTCCCCAAAGCCCCAGTAGATAGTTGTATGTCATAGTTGCACATCCTTCTAGCTGCTGTAGGTGGGACGTGGCCTCAGCATGGCCGGAAAAGCAGTGCGTCAGTGTGTGCCTGGGATCCGAACCCAGGCCGCCAGTAGCAGAGTGTGCGCACTTAACCGCTAAGCCACGGGGCCGGCCCCTGTAATGTATTTGTTTAGCTTCCCTATCTTAAGTGTGAGCTCCTTGAAAAAAGGGACTTTATTTTGTTCACTGCTCAATCGACAGAACCTAAAACAAAGCATGGCCAGTAGCAGATGCTATTTGAGTGAATGCCTTAATATTAAAAATGCAGATAGATATGACCACAAAAATAAAAAAAATTAATATGGGTACAGATGAATATTCAATGTGCATAGTGGACATCTGCCTGCTTAACATCTTTTTACCTCTTTTTCTTTTGGAAGGAAACTCCCTCGCTTTTGGAGCATTTGGATAATTGCTCCAATTTCACTCCAACTAATTCTTTGGGATGGATAATTAGTATCTGCCTTCCTTGGCTCATGAACCAAACTATACTGGGGTCTTTTTCTGGAGGATGTGATGAAAGGTCACTCTGTTTGCTGGGGTCACTAGCTAAGATACTTGAAGCCAGGAAAGGGTCTGTCATCACAACTCACCATTCCCTCCTCCTGCAACAAGATGCACATCTATGATTGAAGCCAATGTGGAAAAGAAGCAAGGCTGTTCAAGTGAATGATCATGGAATTTTAATTTCAAAGCACATTCTGACGATGAGCCTATGAATTCCCTTTCTTGCTTACAGATTCTATTTTTGTAGAACGCTTACATATTTATACATACACAAGAAGAAAAAGTTCTGGAATGAAAAATATGTTTTCTAAGTTTTCAAACAAATATTACTTTTCTTCATGTGTACGCCATTTATTTCCTTTGTGCTTTTGTTTAAGTGATTTAGTTTCTCCAAATCCTGTTTGCTTAATCTATAAAATAACTACTGTCTTGAAGGGTTCTTGTGAAAACTGGGCCAAAGTATACAAAGTATGAAATTAATAAGAGCATGGGTTTTGGAATCAGACTGCCTTGGTCCTGAACTCCTACACTACCACATGCTATGTGACCTCTGGGCAAATTATTTAAACTATTCTGTGCCTTAGTTTCCTTATCAGTCAAATGAAGTACTTAATTTAATAGTATTTACTTTAACCTTAATAGTACTTACTTTATAACCTTTTGAGAACGAAATAACAGAAAACATAAAACAGCAGTGACTCAAACATAATATACGTAGCTGCTATTTTTGTTCTACAAACTGATATCTTAAACATTTCAAACATTAAAAACCTGTTTTTGACAATCTCAAAAAAAAAAGTCTGTATCCTTAAACTTACCTGTTTTGAAAGTACTAACATTTTCTTCTAGCAATTTCTGCTTTTTTTTGTCAGGGGCTGTAGCAAGTACATTAGCTTCAAGTTCCTTAACTTGGACATTCAAATATTCTTCTTGCTCTGATAAACGCTACAGAATGTTTTAACATTCAAGGTCAATATTTTAACTTAGTAACAATAATATTTGCTTTAAATATTTTGAATTAAACAAAACCCCAAAAAATTGGCACTTAAAATCTTTAAGACAAATACTAACAGGAAAAGGACAGAAAACATGAACATGTTAATATACAACAATGAAAACGGCCAAAACACATGAAATGACGTGTCAGCTCATTACAAAGACAAGTTAAAATGCCATTTTTTAGTACTTTAGAGTAGCAAACTTACAACATAGTGAAGACTACTTAATGTTCAAAGACTTAGAACTAGCATACTACTATAGCCACATATGCAAATAAATCAGAACCATCTTTTTGAGGACAATTTGACATTATACAACAAATGCCTTAGACACTATACATATACTGGGTAATAATCGTAATTTTAGGAATCTAACCTAAGGAAATAATTGGATGGGTGTATAAAGGTTTACCTAACAAGGATATTTTAAACATAGCAGTGTATATAATAACATAGAAAAACATTTATCAAAATGCTCTAATGCAATTGCAAAAAAAGTAAATTTACATTGGCTTGGAAAGAAAACTATAATTAAGTGAAGAAAAGTTAGTATGACTTATTAAAAAGCCATATGCATATTTAATACGTATATCTACACCTGGTATATACATAAACACATACATGTAAACTAGGTATTTATATTAAAAAGTTCAAGGGTAGACACAAAAATTGAGGATGATGATCTTTTGGGTATTTTCTGAAAGTTGTGGTTTAGTCAGAATCCTGTGATTAAAAAACAGTGAGGGGGCCGGCCTGGTGGCGCAGCGGTTAAGTGTGCGCGCTCTGCTGCGGTGGCCAGGGGTTTGGATCCCGGGTGCGCACTGACACATGGCTTGTCAAGCCATGCTGTGGCAGCGTCTCATATAAAGTAGAGGAAGATGGGCGCGGATGTTAGCCCAGGGCCAATCTTCCTCAGCAAAAAAAGAGGACGACTGGCATCAGATGTTAGCTCAGGGCTGATCTTCCTCACAAAAAACAAAAAACAAACAAAAAATAAAAAAAAGACAGTGGGCATCCATTTCTTTCTCATAATTAAGAAAACATCCCACTTTGAAAAGAGAATGAAAATAAAGGATCACACAGTTGTTCAGGAAAGATACATTTTTATGGAGTACAAATGGAAAACAGGAACAGCTGTGGCTGGAGTAACACTGTGACAAGGCATATATCCATTAGTACTTAAGGAAACAAAAATCAAGAGACAGGCCTTCCACCCAGAGACCCACCCTACTCCTCCCTTATACTTTAAAATTGTAAGCAAACAGGAAAAAATCTTCTGTCAAATTGCTGTTGAATTCCACTAGTTCCAGCTAATATTAATAAGAGTACCTGGATGCTTGCAGTAAACTTTTCTAGCGTATTCCTCATTTCTCGTTCACTATGCCTTAACTTAACTACTGCTTCCTCCAGTTGTACTTTCTGTTCCTGAATTTGCACTGCTTTTTGAGAGTCTCTCTGCAACTCTGATTCCATTTTATTTACCTACAAAGAAGAGTTTTAGTGAAATAAGTTTTCTCTAAGAGTCACTGCAGATTAACAGCAAAGTCAATTTATAAATGAAGAAAACCCAAACTTCTGATCTTCAAGATTAGAACAAAACCAAACAACCCAGTTTCAATTCCCAATCCTAAAGCTTAGGAGATGGTCAACTAATTTCTGCATCATAGAATCTGATAGAAAGACAATTTTAAGTGTTGTATAGTCACTTATTATTTCAGTGAAGGTATACTCTGCAAATATTGAAGTGGAAGGATATAAACTACTTCAAAATATGGGAAAAAATGAAGGTATAACTCTTCGGAAAAAGTTAGGTGTTCAGGATATCCAAGTATGTTTTTAAGGAAGAAAAAGGTATACATAGTGTTCTGAGAGCAATAAAGGAACATAGCAGGTTTTTCCTGGACATTTTGACATTCTCATATACTTGTGGGCATATTAAATATTTTGAAATAAAATTTGGAAGCATGCACCAGAAATCTTTGCTATATTCATACCTTACATTATTTTGAAATAGAAAAACCATGTGACACAGCAATAATTATGTCAAAAAACATGAAATTAAATGTCAGTTAAGTGAAATGGTTAAATAAATTCTAAAAATCCATAAGATCCAAATGTAACAATAGCAAAAGATATATATGTGAAGCATATACTTTCTAATTAACATGTCTTATTTTTAGAACTTTAAAGGGTTTCACATTAAAAAAAATGCCACAGCTTATATATTAGTCACTTACAGAAAATTCAATCTGTTAATTTAAAATTTGAGCACAGTATACCTAAAATGGCTAAACTTTAAAGTATGTATGTGAATTTTTTTTTTAAGTGTGACTATAATTTTAGATATGCTGACCTCTTCTTCACAGATTTCAACAGCAACTGATGAACCCATCCTTCCTTTCATTACTTTGCTTCCACCACCAGTCATTGTACCTGGAGGACAGAGGAGAGAAGTTAGACTTAGGTGTCTCCCCCAACAAGATTAAACAAACTCAATGGCAGGCAAGAAACCACCATTACCTGACTGTTCTATGATTTGCCCTTGTAACGTTACCACTCTCCATCTTCTATCTTTTTGATATGCTACTCTTGTGGCTTGATCTAAGTTGTCAGCTACTAAGGTATCCCGTAAAGCAAAGTAAAATGCTTGGCGAATTTTCTCATCTTTTACTTTTACTAAATCAAATAACCGAGGAGTATTTTCAGGAGTTTGAATTTTTGTCATTTTCTTTGCCCACACTGCCATCTAAAAGTAGAATATATATATATATATATATAAAAAAATAGAGAATATATCATTTCTTTTAGCTATCGTTTACATAAGTTTACATAAGTAATATACATGTATAAAATGTAAGGATATGTACACAAGGTTCTGAGTATCTGCATAATTAAGTATTACTTTACCATTACCTTAAGAGAGAAGTTATTATAAAACTATCTCTATTCACAGAAGACATGATCTTATACATATATATAAAATACTAAGGAATCCACACACAAAAAACTATTAAAACAAACATGAATTCAGCAAAGTTGCAGGATACAAGATCAATATATAAAAATTAGTTGTATTTTTATACACTAGCAACAAATAATCTGAAAATGAGATCAAGAAAATTCCATTTACAATGTTATATTAAAAAAAACACAAAAACAAAAAACTTAGGAGTAAATTTAACAAAAGAAACACAAGACCTGTACACTGAAGGCTACGAAACATTATTGTATGAAATTAGACCTAAATAAATGGAAGATATCCCGGGTTCATGGATCATAAGATTTAATACTAAGATAGCAATACTCAAACTCATCTACAGATTCAATGCAACCTGTATCAAAATCCTAGTTGCTTTGTTTTTGCAGAAATTGACCAGCTGATCTTAAAATTCAAATGGAAATTACAGGGATTCAGAATAGCCAAAACAATCTTGATATAAAAGAACAAAATTAGAGGACTCCTTATTTCAAAACTTACTAGAAAGCTATAGTAATCAAGACAGTGTGGTACTAGTGTAAGAATAGACATATAGGTAAATGGAGAGTCCAGAAAGAAACCCTTACATTTATGGTCAGTTGATTTTTGACAAGGGTGCCAAGAAAATTCAATGGGGCAAGAGTAGTCTTTCCAACAAATGGTGCTGGAACAACTGGATATCCACATGCAAAAGAGCAGAGTTGGACTCCTACTTCACACTATGTTATAAAATGAACATGGATTAAAAACCTAAATATAAAAGCTAAAACTATAAAAGTCTTGGAAGAAAACAGAGGAGGTAAATCACTATGCCCTTGGATGATGCAGTATTTTCTTAGATATGAGACCCAACACACCGCAACCAAATTTAAAAGAAAAAAGAAGTTGGACTTCATCAAAATTAAAAAATTTAGTGCTTCAGAGGACACCACCAAGAAAGTAAATACAGGGCCTGCCCCGTGGCTTAGCGGTTAAGTGCGTGCGCTCCGCTGCTGGCGGCCCGGGTTCGGATATCGGGCACGCACCGACGCACCGCTTCTCCGGCCATGCTGGGGCCGCGTCCCACATACAGCAACTAGAAGGATGTGCAGCTATGATGGACAACTATCTACTGGGGCTTTGGGGGAAAAATAAATAAATAAAATCTTTAAAAAAAAAAAAAAAAAGAAAGTAAATACAACCCACAGAATGGGAGAAAATATTTGCAAATCATATATATGACAAGAGATTTGTATCTAGAATATACAAAGAATGCTTACAACTCAACAATAAAGACAAATAAACCAATTAACAAATGGGCAAAGGATATGAATACACATTTCTCCAAAAAAGATAAATAAATGGCCAATAAGCATACGAAAAGATGTTCAACATCATTAGTCATCAGGAAATGCAAATCAAAACCACAAAGAGATACCACTTCAAACCCACCACGATGGCTATAATCAAAAAAAAGTACAATAACAAGTGTTGGTGAGGATGTAAAGAAATTGGAACCCTCATTCACTGCTGGTAGGAAATGGTGCAGCCACTGTGGAAAACAGTTTGGTAGTTCCTCAAGAAGTTAAAATTAACATGTGACCCAGCAATTCCACTCCTAGGTATTAAATCGAGAGAATTAAAAACATGTGTCTGCACAAAAACTTATAAATGAATGTTTATAGCAGCATTTTCCATAATAGCCAAACCATGAAAAAACCCAAATGTCCATTAATTGATCGATGGATAAAGAAAATGTGGTATATCCATACAATGGAATTATAATTTGGCAATAAAAAGGAATGAAATACTGACATGTGCCACAACATAGATGAACTCTGAAAACCTGCTAAGTAAAAGAAGCCATACACAAAAGGCTACATATTGTTTGATTCCATGTCTATAAAATGTCCAGAATAGGTAAATCTATAGAGACAGACAGTAGATTAGAGGTTGCTTGCAGCAGGGGTGGGGGTGGAGGGTGGGTTATAGGTAGTGAGTGCTAATGTGTTTGAGGTTTCTTTTTGGGGTGATGAAAATATTCTGGAATTAGACAGTGGTCATGGTTGAACAACCTTGTGAATACACTAAAACCCACTGAACTGTATACCTTATAATGGGGAATTTTATGGTATGTGAATTATATCTCCATAAAGGTTTTATCATTTTTTTTTAAAGTAGTTATTGATGACGAAAGTTAGAAATGCAAACTACCAGTCACTCTAACAGCGAAATGTATATTCCTTTAGGCGAGGCCCTAGAAAATTTTTTTTCACAACCATGTAACCTGAGAGCCTAAAATAATCCTCAAAACCTATCATGTGTTCACTGAATAACTATGGAAAAAAGCTTGGATTCAATCAAAAACCACTTGGCATTTAAAAATTAAATTATGAATACCCACCTTATCCAAGCCTATAAAGGTTGCAACTCCAATATTTTGTCTTTTAAGGAAGTTTACACATTCTTGGGCTGTATCAATAGACTCAACAACAATGTAGTCTAATGCATGACAACAGGATGAAATAGCAACATCGTATTTTTCATCAATTGCTCCTAAGTCCCCCTAATAAAGAGGAGGGGGAAAAAATCAGCAAGGAATTAGGCACAGGATCATTTCATTACTATTCATATAGATTTCTCAAGCTACTTTTAATTGAAAAACTATACTTACACATGGTTTTAACAAGTACAAAAAGGGTACACGATGAAAAATATGTGTTCCTCTCATTCAAGCTTCCCCTTCTGCAGAGGCAGAAGACTTTTTAATCTACCTTTTAAAAAGGTTTATGGATATGTGGGGGTTTTTTTGGTGAGGAAGATTCACCCTGAGCTAACATCTGTGCCAATCTTTCTCTGTTTTGTATGTGGGATGCCTCCACAGCATGGCTGATGAATGGAGTAGGTCCACGCCTGGGATCTGAACCTGTGAATCCAGGCTGCCGAAGCAGAGTGCTCAGAAGCTCAACCGCTCGGCCAGAGGGCCGGCCCCTGGAGTTTGCATTTTTAATGAGAGCACAAAATGAAAGAACTGTTTTCACTGTACAAAAATGAAAACATATAAAGATTTGAAGCCTAAAGTACTATAAGCAAAATAACATAAATAAAACTTTGAATTACTGAAAACCATCTAAGATTATGTTAAGTCCTGATGAAACACACTTGCCTGCTTATCCATATCTATTATTGATAAATTAGCTATCAAGCAGCATTCACTGACTAGCTTTATTTTTCCTTGAAAGCAAATGATTAGAATCAAATTGTATATCTTCAACAAAATAAGGTAGAAATGTCTTAACAAGTAAACATGGGAGCAACTATGCTGGGTAATTTTCATTTGCCCTTTTGAAGCACTCTCTTCTGCTTCCTTCTCAAGAAGGCTGACTCAAGGACTGCATCAACTGGTTCCTTTGGCTCTCTAGCTTTAGCCAATGTGAGGCACCAGCTAGAGACAGCAGGGTAGCAGATAAAGGTGGGTTAAATATTTATTTTCCCCATGTCCTCCAGGCCACCCTCTAGCCATGGCCACAGCTCCCTTCCTTCTTGAGGCTCAAGAGCAGTGATGGTCCCCATCATTGCTAGCCTTGGGTTCCTACATTATCCCTTGTTGATTTACCTAAACTCTAGCCATAACCTTCAATAAAATGTTATAAAACCCAGAATATAATTCATCAAATTCTTGTTTTCTGGAAAAAAAAAGTAGTCTTGCTAAGTTTGTTCATCACTACTAGAGTTAGTTTTTCTTCTTGGTATTAAAATGATTATAATTATCCCAAACTAAAAAACTATAATGAGAGAATCCATACCACAAAGAATTTTATCATGCCTGAGTATAAGAGGAAAATGTTTAAAAACGAATGTCCTTTAAAACAAACAAAAATGAATGTTATTTTATGTATAGTGACACTCAATATACAGTTCTTTAAATCAAGGTAAGAAAATTATTTACAATATGTTTCTTGAGAGAAAAATATATAGTCATTTCCAAATAAATCTATTTTACCAATCGCCCATATATTCCTGGAATCCTGCCAGATTTTTTTTCTTGAATCATTGCATCAAGGACTTTCCCCCTACTTCGATTCATTGCTAAGGAACTCTTTGCTTCTTCAACCTTTCGGAAAAGATCATGAACGAAACTTTTGACATTTATTTCTTCTTTTGTAAGTTTTTGAAGTTCTTTTTCTTTCTGAAAGTGAAAAGTTAAGAAAATGAATCCCAGAAGCATAGGCACAATCATGGCATAGAATTAGTTGTAATACCTCAAAAAGAAAGGAAAAGACCAATAATAAACACTCAAACCAGAACTAAGCTGCCATGTTGCAACTGCTGGTTTGGTTTTGAAAAACATGGATGGGTTTTCTATTTTAAAGGGGACAAATTATTTGGGTCAATAACAAGGAACGTTAAGCACAGCGTGGTTCTGGGAGTAGCACACTGATTGCTACAGCAAGCAGAGCTAGGGCTGTGGAAATCCCAGCTTGGCACCATATAGTGATGCATGAGTGTGTCCTAATTCTTAAGTTAACAACAGACCTCAGGTACAGGACCCTAGATATGGGTGACTGGGCAGGACTACAGTTATACTGTGCTTTGCTTTCTAAATAATAAAGGAAACTATATATTATATATAATTATATATAATTAAAGAAAAAAAAAAACAAAAAAAGTACAGCTCTGAAATCCAGGGGGCCATGATGAGTGAACAGTACTACTGCTATACCAAAATGTCAGGCTGCCAATAAAAGAAGAACCACACACATGCACACAAAACATGCAAACTCTCAGCTTCCCAATCTCCAAGTTAGAGCAGCTATTTTTTCCTAACAGACATTCTTCCTCATGTCCTGCCTTTAAATTATTACCTCTATTACCAGTCATACTGATGTAAAGTAAAAGCTCATTACAGATACAATTTATCCAAAAATAAATGGAATTACCAGGAAGATGGAAGTGGTCACTGTATACAACTTAAGTTTACATTTAAATTCTACACAGTCATGCAATTCCCTGACAACTAAATAGTGCATTTATTAAAATGAAAGACTTTATTTTCAGTATAATTTCTCTTCAAACAGCATTTTCTATTGCCATCTTGCCTAGTGAAGCTTTAGAGATTTAAGTTATGAAATTCCTTAGATATCTAATTCATTCAAGGATAGGAGGAGCACTGGTAAGCTAAACTAGTTATCTTGCATAGTTTAAAATGGTGTGCAGTCAACAAAGAAACTACATCCATAAGTTCAAAAACAGGAAAACTATACCAAGACAGTTGGTTTGCATATTCATTCATATATATATATATATGGATATATATATATAA